AGTTATGGAAAACTTTTTAGATGGGGCAAGAAGACAACTAAAATCCAGAGCAGGGGGTTGCTGTTTTGAAATTCAGCCCACATGTTAAATAATCCTTGCCGTCAGACTCTGATCACCTCTGAGAAAAAACCACCTGTCTCTAGTAAGCAGTCATAGGCAACAATAGAAGAGTCTCCAATTCCAATAGAAGTGTATGCTCTTCTGTGAATCCAAGTTCCTGGACAGGATTCTAGAGCCAAACAAGGAGGGAGGAGGCCCACTCCTTCAGTTTGCTTAACTAACTTACCCCACTTGGGTCTAATTATCGTTATGAGTTTTCTCACCAACATTCTGCATCCCAATGTTGAGTGAATGCTGTGCTCATAGAAGACAGAGGGTTAGGAAAGAACCAAGATGCAAGAGCTGGATCAAGAAGCCTAGTCATGGGCTCTCCCTGGTGGCGCAACAGATTAGGGCGCAGCATTGCAAGCTAGCCACAGCCACTTCAATGCCAGTTTGATCCTGGCCGGCCCGGGAGGTGACCCACACAGCACAGCAAATCTCTCCTGTCTCACCTGCTGCTCCCCTTAGCAATGTATTTTGTTAATCTGCCTGTTCTGACTCCCACTCTATCTCTGGTGAATCCTCTCACCACACCTGTATCTCTGGCCGGTACCCCAGTTCTGTATGCATAAATAAAATAAGTCTTTAAAAAAAAAAAAAAGAAACCTAGTCTAGTATTGTCAAGATGTGTTAACTGGGATTTGCAGAATCCTTCAACTACTGACCCTAGCTTCCTCTAAACAACGAAACAGCCTGGTCTGAGCAGCCAAATCACCAATACCAGGACAACATCAGCCAGCTCACTGATGAGTGAACGTGTACACCTGTTCTAAACACTTACTAACACAGGCCTTGAAGCAATCAAGGAAATGCTGTCAAGCTGACAAGGCTTCCAGCCAGGAAATTATAACAAGTAACAATGATGGGTCAATGTTGTACTGTCCCTTTGAAGACTGACACTCATGCCAACAAAGCCATCATCACTGTGACCTTTTTCAGTGTAAAGTCGGAAAGGCACAAGTGAAGTAGCCTGAGTAAAATGGGGTATAACTACAAAGTTCTCTCCTTCCAAAACAATCCTGATCTCCCTTGGAGGTGTGATAATGGGAGGACAGAGGGAAAGTGTTGGAGGTGGACTATCTGGTTAGACAGATTTGAGTTTGAATCTCTATTTTAACATGTACTAGCTTGTCAAATCTGCATCTTTGTTTCCTCAACTGTTAATAGAAGGAATTCAGTCTAGCATCACACATCATGAATACTGTTGATTCAAAGTGCCTGGCCCACACCATAGTGAATATTCCCGATGGCGGTTACCATGGTGAGTTGCTTGCGTCTCACTGAGGTTCTCAGGTTCAGGAATCATGCCTTAGTTGCCTTTAAACTCCCAGCACATAGTAGATCCCCAATAAATACCAGCTGAATGGACAGTCACAAGAATAATCTGTGTCTTAACCTCTGTATATCATTCAGTTGTGAGTAGAGGTGGAAAAATCAATAAAGCTGTGCCCCAGGGCCAGCTTCCTCTCAGAGCTGCATATCAGGAAAACAGTGCTTCAAAGGTCTGACACATAAAAGAGGCCATTAGGGAGCAGAGCTACTTACAAAGTGTTTTTGCATAACAATACACCCACTGATTTTTAACAGAGCACTTCCCCCCCAATTCCTTATGGATTCATTAAACTGACAGCTTGGCACCAGCATATGGATGTCTGTTTTCTATCTAACACAGGCTGTACACATGCCCCGTGTTTAATACACTATGAATTTATAAACAACTATGTAAAAATAAGGACTCAGAAAACAAAGAAAATATGCTGTTGTCTCAATAAAAAACAGTTAAGTGTGTTTGCGTCCTCCTCCTGCTCAAATTGGTTATATTTGGTTTGGGGTTGTTTTCCTTTGCTCCAAGAGTTTAATTACAGCAGATTCTACTTGCCTATTAGAGAAGGCTGTGCTCTAGGCCGATGCCTCAGTGTGATCCTATAGACTACATAGAATTCACACCAGTATGGAAAATCAGTGCTTTGCTTCTTTATTCAAAACGTATAGCCATGGAAGGCATGTCAGCTGAAGGAAACCATGTTTAGTGCAGAACTAGTGCCATCTTATTTTGAACAGGTAACAAAAGTGCTCTTAGTATGGCCCAGCCTGGGGTTCATATATCACAAAGCATTGTTCCAGGTTACAAAACAGCATATCTGCCTGAGAACATACTAGATTGATATTTACGATGCATTTATGAGCATTTTGGGCTACCCAGAATTCTTATCCTATCTTTTGGCAAAGTACCCCGACACTGAGGAGCTGTGGGATTCAAACAGGGGTCCTAGACTACGAGGACTGGCTAACCAGCTCCCTGAGGCCTTTCAAGTCATAGTGAATGTTTCAGGGAGGACATGATCCAGAACTGGTCATTTAGCATGATCTAGCCTCCTGGTAGCTTCCAGACCTGGGGTGGGCAATGGCATAACCGATGCATTCAGAATGAATCTTGGGACTCAAACAGGAGATACAAGACATTCTTTCTGTTAGTTGGAAATTGCGAATATGTGAATCTCCTCTCCTATGAGAGGAGAGCCTGGCTGTGAACCGTAGCAAAGACAGAACTAAAGACAGAGAGACAGAAACTGGATTCTGAGTATGTCAAAGTCTCTGAGTCAAGGCATGTCTGAAGCAGATTTCTACCCTCTGACTTTTCACTAATGTGAACCAGAAAATTTTCCTTTGTTTAGTTTGTGAATTTCTGACACCTACAACCAAAACAGTACGAAGTTATTTCCATATGAGTACTGTACTCTGAGCTCATTCTAAAATTCATATGCGTTGCTCCTAGAGACAAATCTGAAAAGGCAAAAGGTGAGGAGTCAGGAGAATTGCCTCTATCTGGGTCTACAGACAAGTTACCAAAACTTCCCACACCTGGGTTCCTTCCTCTGTCAGGAGATTAGCACCTGCCTCTGTCAAGACTCATACAGAAGGATTTAGAGGAAGTCACTCTGGAAACATAAAAAAGCACAGTACAAACAAAATAGTATCAGCATAACACCTTCTTATTAAAACTTTAAAATTCTGGGCCCTCCCTGGTGGTGCAACAGGTTAAAGTGCAGCTCTCTGAAGCTATACACATACTTTGCAGCACAAGTTCGATCCCCGGCCAGGGAAGGTGACCCACATGGCTCAGCAGGCCTCCCCTGTCTTGCCCACTGCTCCCCTCAGCATTTCAGTCAATCTGCCTATTCTGTTCCCCACTCAGTCTCTGGTGGATCCTCTCACCTTCTGTACCTCTCACCTATACACCAGTTCTTGTATGCATAAATAAAATGTTTAAAAAAAAACTCCAAGATTTGGACATCCACAAATATGCACAGCCAATAAATACACTGTTTAAAGCCTCTGAACAGCTCACTAGTTCTCATTATCAGAAGATCACTATGTACTGACTTTTTGGGAAAAAAGTGAAATTTGAAAAACAACTTAATATGTATTTTTAAAGATTTATTTATTTATGCATACAGTACTGGGATACAGGCCAGAGGTGTAGGGGTGGTGAGAGGATTCACCAGAGATGGAATAGGGAGCAGAACAGGCCGACTAAGTACATTAAATCCTACATCAGCTGTAGTAGGGGAAGCAGCCTGTGCTGCTTCAGAGGATGAGAAGCGAGGCAGTGGGCCCCTGGGGTCTAACAGAAAAAAGCAGCAAAGGGGTTTCGGGGTCTGGGCTGAGCACCAAGTGGGCACCACAGATCGCTTCTATGGCCCACCAGGATGTTTCTTTCCCACTGAATACATCCTCCATCTGTTCAAGCTTATGAATGGTGAAAGAATAACAATTGCATTTAGACTATACCACTATTAATTCTCAAACCCTATTTTGCAACTTTGGAGTTGTTGTAACAATGATATTGTTATTCAGTTAGTCAGATTTTACTTGCTTGTTCAGTAATCATATGTGAGATCTAACCAACCTAATGATACATTTTCCATTAAAAGATTAAGTTGTTGGCCCTCCCTGTGACACAGCGGTTAAAGCACAGCACTAAGAAGCTAAAGCCACTTCACCATGAGTTCCATCCCCGCGCCAGAGTTGATAACATGGAGCAGCAGACCTCTCCTGACCCGCCCACTGCTCCTCTCAGCAGTGTACTTAGTCGGCCTGTTCTGCTCCCTAGTCCATCTCTGGTGAATCCTCTCACCGCCCCTACACCTCTGGCCTGTACCCCAGTACTGTATGCATAAACAAATCTTTAAAAATACATATTAAGTTGTTTTTCAAATTTCACTTTTTTCCCAAAAAGTCAGTACATACTGATAAATAAAAAGACTTAGTAATCAGAGTACAGGAAATAAAGCGGCATCGGTATTACTTCTGATTTCTAAGCAGAGTTCTGAGTTTGGGTCAATGGTGTCATTCATGGATTTGCTTTTGATGCCAATATATTTAGAGACGTCCATATAACTGGAAGTTTATTCTTCAAACTCGTTTGAGGAGTTCCATTCTGGGGACGGGACTGGCAGGATATATGGATACTTATTTTACTCGTGTCCCCATATGCTGGTTGTCAACTCTGCCAGGAGTTTACATCCATGACGTAGCCCAGCATGCCCCAGCCCATCTTATCAACAGGCAGGATGACAGTTGCCAGAAGCAAGGACCAGATTGAATCTTCCTCGCTGCTCCTGAGGCTGGCTGTGTCCAAGCAGAGCCCGTCTGTGAATACTTGCTCTTCCTGCTTCTCCATCTGTGCCTTTTCAGCCATTCCCAGTAACCTGCTTATATTCAATCCAGAAAAGTGGGTAAAAAGGCCCCATGTTGGCCTCAAGTCCAAGACTTGTTCTCCAATCCAGCTATACCCTATTAAAGCTGATGCTTCCACCTATTGATTCGAGACACAATAAGTTGAAAGGCGAAGGGAGAGGGATGGGGGTGGTACTCACAAAGCCACTAACACTTACCAGTCTGGACAATGCTCTGGATCCAGCATAGATTATCCCCACAAATAACACTGACACAGGAAGCCACGTCAAAACATCAAATCTGAAAATAAGGGAAGAGACCATAATACTTGTTACTTTACATCCCAAAAGCCCAAAGAAGCAAAAACCCCTATGCTTGTTTTATTACTATGCATAATACCCAAGTTGTGGAAACAACCAAAATGCCCAACCACAGATGATTAAAAGACATGAAATCTTGCCATTTGCAACAACATGATGGACCTGCAGGGGATTTTGCTAAGTGATACAAGTCATAGGAGAAAGAGAAATACCAGATGATCTTACTTATATGTGGGATATAGAGAACCAAAGCAAGAAATAAAACCAAATCAAAACACCCTAGGATTATGACTGCAGAATTGTGGTTACTAGTGGGGAAGGTGGTAAGTGGGGAGCAAAGGGGAGAGAGGGCCCAAGGGACTATGGTGGAGGATTATGAGAGCAATGATGATAGTATGATGTGACAGAGTGAACCTATTTCCTAGCACACATACAGTGTCACAAACCAATGTTACCTCAATAAAAAGTTATGTTTTTAATTGAAAAAAATATTAAAAACCTGGAAGTATGACCCTTCAGGTGCACCAAACATAGCTACAGAGCTTGTCTAACAATCTCTGAGAGTCCCCTGAGGGTGATGAAAACTGACAAAGCCACCCCACCTCAGCCAGTCACTCTGTTGAGGACCTGGCATTATGGAGTCCACTCTAGGACCCAGACAAGCTGAAGCTAGAAAAGCCTTCCTGCAGGAAAGAGGGGTGTGGCTCTTTTAAAGGACCATGGTTGTTCTTTAGATTTTAAGTAGCCAAAGCCTTTGAATCTACTGGAAATTAGAAACTGGAAATTAGAAATTTCCTACCAGGGAAAAGGAACTGTAACAGGGTGGTCCCCAGGAAAAGGGGAGGTTCCAGGTTCCCAGCCAGACCCAAAGGAGGGTGGAGCTGAGCAGGGAGAAGAGGAATCTGGAGAGGAGACTAAAGAGGAAGGAAGCGGGATGGAGAGCCAGAAGGAGACCTGAGGGAGGCAAATGAGCAGAGAGACAGGAGAAGAAGCGGCTTTTGTTACTTGGCCCTGGACTGGTTCAAACAGATGTGGGTGAGAGACCCATGGGGAAGTTAACTATGGCAGTGTTTATCTTGATTTTGATTTTGCTCTTTCCCTCCCAGACTTGTCTGACCATTTCTGACCCTTTTCCATGGGTCCCCATCAAAAGGCGCTTTAGATTTGTGGTGGGCTTTCAGACTTTGCTTTGGGCCAATCCCTGTTGGGTACACTTTCACCCACAAGGGGATAGACAACTTTAGATGTGTGATTAAGAAACTATAATCTTTGCCTTTTCTGTATTGCCCACTAATTTTATGAAAGTTCCTTTCCATTAAAGGTCTTACATACTTTGTCTTCATGCGGTGGATGCCAGAATCTGTTTAGAGTGGGCACCTTTAGGGGGTTTGGGTGCCCCTCTTCATGCCCTGTAACAGATTCGGTGTCAAAGGACAGAATTTAACAATAAGAGTGCTAGACAAGAGACTATGGTAAGAGTTCACAGGTAATTAGGTGGGAATTTATGAGGACCACACCTGAGAGGAAAAATCAATTATACAAAAATGAGCAACGATGTAAAAATAGATATACATTTAAATATATTTAATATAAATAAATTAAAAAACAAGCATGCTCGAACTTATGCCAAAGGCCATGGGCTGACCTCTTCAACCATGAACCTGGCATGCTGGTTCAGCGAATCTTTTAGGACTTCTGAAAGGCACATTTATTTTTTTATTATTTAACTAGCCACACCATGAACTGCTTTTATCACTGCAGTATAAATCTTGTACTTATCAAGAAAAGCAAAATCCAGGTTTGACAGACAGTAGTATGTATCACCAAAGTTGCCTTTTGCCTCCCCCTATCAGTTACAAATGCATTCAGTCCACTAGTTCAAGTTTCCAGCCATTCCAATAATAAATATAAGTTAATAAAATCATGCCAGCTGGATATAACATAGTAATCTCAAGTAACTCAATGAACAGCTCTCCTGGCTGGTGCCTGTTCAAAAAATGTCCTTTGTTAATTTTATTAGGATGGGCAGACATCCCGTGGTGACCTGACTTGCTTTTGTAGACTTCCTCGG